CTCCCTGGGGTTTGAAAATGTGAGGCGGCCGTGAAGAACAAAGGCCATTTCAGGGTGAGTGTGAAAGTGTCCATCCCCTGATGTAATGCTCAGCACGCTACATTTCAAGATCGGTTTGATGACTGAATGGATGGGGAAAGGAAGAAAGGAAGAAAGAAAGATGGATGGATGGGGTGGGGGTGTGTGAAAGGAAGAAAGTAAAGCTGTGCAGCAGCACAGAGGAGTTTGGGGGCTGGTGGGAGAGCAGGCCAGCCAGAGGCATCCATGCCAGGACCCAGCACAAGGCCTGGCACGGGGTAGGATCTGAACACACGTTTGTTGACCTAGTTGGTTAGATTTCTATTCTCTTTACTTGGCTTAGACATTCCTTGGAAACACTGAGCTCTACCTGTGACCACATTATATGTTTGTTGCTCCCCGACTAGAATGGAAGCTCCATGAGGGCAGGGACTTCAGGTCTCCTCTCACCCCTAGAACACAACGTGCTGCGTGGAGTCCTCAACATCTACTTGCCAAGTGAATGAAGGACAGCTGAGGGAGGCCGTGGAGGGCCGGATGTCAAGCTCAGCAAAATGGCCTTGACACTGTTGGAGCTGGGCCAACGTAGGATAAGTTATATTTGTAAAGGAAGGATGGCCCATAGAGCAAGTTGTCCTCATATCTGTACCCATTCTTCACACAAGGAAACTCTCCTGCCGGAGTCCAAAGCGAGTCTAGAGACACTTCTCTGGATGGAAACTACCAGACTAAAGAAGTGTTAAGGCCTGAGTTGGGGGGATGGTATAAGTTTCATTTTCCTGACTTGTTCAGGCAGCCTCTGGGGCCCAGCTGATGGTTGCAGAGGCCCTCAGATGTGAGCAGAGCTCAAAGTGGAGCTGGCTTCCTTGCCAGCTCCGAAGTGGGGAGGCCTTTCAAGCTCCAGGGAGAGACCTCGCCGAGGAGGGGGCCACACCTGCCAGGTGATAGTCCCTGGTGGGCCCCAGCCTGTACCCACCCTCCGTAGGGTCAGAGCACCTACTGCAGCTCTCCATCCCTGAGAAGCAGTTTGTCGTGCCTCAAGGGCAGGGAAGGCGGGGGCCCACTCAGCCTGAGCCCGGAGTCCAGACCAACCAGCCTGTGCTCTGGACTCACTTCCTGGGATGCCAGGAAGCCTGACTCCACCTGCCTGTCATACCTTTACTCTCACCTGCTTGCTGGGGGTGATTTCCTCAACGTCCAGGCCCTTCTGAACTCAGACCCGGCCCAAGCCTACACTCTCAAAGACATTTTCGGGTCTGAGAGGCACCTGCTGTGTGCACGTTACAATCATTACCACCTTTAATTCTAACGTGTGAGGTAAAGATCATGATTTCATTTTACAGGTTGAGAAACAGGGGTGCAGATGGGTGAGGCAGCTTTCCCAAAGTACAGTATGAAGCCGGCACTCATCCTCAATGGTCTGTCTTCTGCACCTTGCCACACAGCCTTCTCTACAGAAGGACACACCGCCTTCACCCCTCTGCTCCTCCCAAGTCAGCCTATTTCAAATTCCTTGACATCCCCCTGGTGTTTTAAGTGAAGGACGCGCGTCTGTTTTTGACCACACAGCTCCCTCTTCCAGGCACGCCCGCGTGCCCTGAATGTCTGGTGAACTCTTGTTTTAAGCCTCAGCAGAAGAGTCACCTCCTCCATGAAGCCTTCCTGATCATAATCTCCATTTGGGAAGACTCGGGCCTCCCTCCCTCCTCAGAGCCCCTGCACACTCCTCTATCCTGACACGTGTGACTCAGGAACACACTTGTGCATGTACACGCCAAGCCACTTGACCAGACTGTAAGCTCCTTTAGGGAAGAGGTTAAGATTCCTTTTGTACTTCCAGCACCACGCCCAGGGCTGGGCACACAGTAGGGACCCCCAAAATGTTCACTGAACCATTTTCACAGTCGAATCTGGTTTCGAACTCAGATCTCTGCAATTCCAGTAATTGACTTCCCACCCCGCAACACACACAGAGCAGAGGGGGTTTAATCCTCAACACACGTCCAAACGGTGTTCTGGTACTTAATAGCCTACACTAGCTGCAGCCTCACATTATAAAACTAACACATCTAAATGACACATGGAGGAAAGAGGTGGCATTTTTTTTTTCTGCCCCTGAGGACATACCAGAGAAATTGCAGTACAGTAAATCGAGTGATGGAGACAGAGAGGTGTGCACATTTATCCCACCCCAGGCCCCAGGGGCAGCACACCCTTGCTTGTGTTACAGTTGAGAGTCCCACGTGGAGATCAAGCACAGACACACGGTGGGGACTGGGGTGATGCTTGTCAAATGAATGAGTGCAGGAGCAGAGAGTTCTCACCTCCTTTGTCAGCACCCGGTGCCGCCCGTAACCCCTCACACCATCATTGGTACACAAACATATCACGGGGTGTCTGCGTGGGCACTTCACTTGGTGGCAGCAAGGAAAGGGACAGACGTGGGCCCAGGCTTGGCTTCCTTCCTGATATTCTTTTGTGCTTTAATCAAGCAGCAGCCTCCCAGGGAAGGAGTGGGAAGATCACGGGGTTTCTGCCAGGCAAGCCTGGATTCCAATCCTGACTGCCACGAGCCTACAGCGTGACCGCAGACAAGCCGGTGGGCTCTGAGCCTGTGTTCTCAGTGCAAACTCGGGCTGAAAATACCCACCCCAGGGGATACTGCGGGGCCACAAGATGATCCACACAAAATCTCGTGGGTATCAAATAATGCAAAAGTACGTCATCAGCTCTAAATTTCTAATATATACCTATAAATAGTCACAGAACTATTATTTTTAACTTAGCCATTTGACAAGGGGCAACTGAGTATTTGCTTCGTTTGAGAAAAAGGAGAAAATGAAAGCACAGAGAGGCTTGGCGACTTGTCCCAAATCTTCTGGGTGGACCTCTACGCTGGAGCCCTACGGCTGGTCCTCGGGTAACTTTCCTGGCCTCGGGGCACTGACGCAGAGTCAGGAGGGAGCCCAGGAGAGGAGCACGGGGCCGGCACGACCCGGAGCCCCGGCATGCCTCCCGTCTCCAAGTCCTCAGACTTGGGGGTTCTTCTCCCACACTCCTGAAAACCATTAACTTACACACCCCTGGAAAGCTCCTCTCCTGAGGCCACTAAGCATGGAAAACAGCCGATACCACGGCTAGAAGGAGACAGATGGGCAGAGGACACAGTCCTTCTCTGCTGGGCTCGGTTGAGTGGGAAAGCAGAGGTGACCTCCAAGGCCCACCCCCAACTGCACGGTCGCTTCCAGTGGCCAGTGTGGAACCCTGAGCAGCCAGTCATGGCCAGGCTCCCTCAGGGCCCGTGCGGTGAGCATGGAAGGCGGAGTGGGCCCGATGCCTAACCCTACTGCTCCTGGGACACCCCAATGTTGGGGAAGCACTAGGTGGCCCTTTGCCAAGTCAGCCTCCCCTCTTGTCCACCACTCAGAGTGTCAGAATTACGTTGTTCCTTCTGGTGCCACCTCTGGTCTGCAGATCAGGCACCGTTGATCCTTGGTAGTGGGAAGGAAAAGGAAAAGAGAAAACGGTATTTGAATACTGGCTGTGTGCCAGGTACTGCACCAGACAATTCACAAAGTTTCTCTCTTAAACATTCACAACAACCCCATGAGATGGATTATACCCATTTTATAGGTGAGGACATTGAGGTTATAGAGATTAAGTCACAATCCTGAGATCACGTGGCTTTCAAGTGGGGAAATGGGAGTTGAACTCAGGTTTCTTTGATTCAAAAATCCCCGTTCTTGGGCTTCCCTGGTGGCGCAGTGGTTGGGAGTCCACCTGCCGATGCAGGGG